GGAGGTAGAGGCAAGCGCAGCATCATGCATCGGCAGGACCGATAAGGCAGAGCGAGGCTGCCACAACGCTGTCATCAGATGCCATGCAGCTGGCCTTACGCCAGCGATTGCGCATGCCCTGCCCATCGCTTCCGGACGCTGCGGCCCGTCGCCAGGCTGTGGCGGACAGGTGGCCGCTGGAGTGGCGGCTTGCGCGAGCCCGTGCCTGCAGGGCACCACCCGCAGTCCGGCGAGCAGCGATGTCAGGCTGGGCGATCGCACAGGTGGTGGGGCATGTTGTCAATCGCCGTGCAACAAGCAATGGCGGGGACGGCGCTCGGCTGCGCATGGCCAACTTCCTCGCCCACAAGCACGGTTCCATCCGTGACCGGTGCCTCGATGTTCATCTCGGCCACCCAGACATTGCGGGCAACGTGGGCTCCTCCCTTGCGGCAAACCCTCGCCACCGCCCAATGCAGTGGCAGCGCTCGGAACCCGAGGGCATCCAAGCGACCGTGGCAACCGCAAAGGCTTGGCGCCAACGGAAACGGCGGCCGTAAGCGGCGGAGAAGATGCCCCCGTAACTGGGCACTGGCAATGATAGCACCGTCATGATTTGGTGCAACCGTGAAGGCCCGTGCTGAGTGGGATCCGGCCTGTGAGAGCAACAGCGCGCGGGACGCGGGAGGCAGTTCAGCAAGATGCGTTTCTCGCTGGCACCGCAAACGTTGAAGGAGATTCGCCTCTCCTCAGCGATCTGCTTGCAGACCGTACTGCTTTTCCGCCATTTGCCAGCCGAATGCCTTAGCCACGAAGGCCTACCTAGACCCTGTGGCCTGGACTTGCGCTGGGACTGCTTTGCCTGACTGCAAGAAGGTCCGAGGAGGGAAAAAATAAATATCGCACCAAGTGGCCCAGTTGGGCTTAAATCTACGTGGATGGCAACGCACGCTGGGCGGCCTTGTTATCTGTCGCAGCGCAACGCGCCTACGCCGGTTCCCTGCTCGAACTCGCACTGGCATGCAGGGGTTGTCATGCGGGTGAGGAATGGTGAGGACATGAGGGCTGATGGGTGCGTGTATAAGGGGCATTTGATCGCGCAAGGTCCCACATGGCTGCTGAAGGGTGTCCTCGTTACCCGGCGCAAGCGGTTTCGAGACCAGCGCGTCCCGCGGAAAGCCCCAATGTGGACGAGGGCGGAAACGTGCGCAGTCCTCGCGACCTCCTCCACCTGACTGAATGCATGTACTGCCTGAGGCCCCCTGCCCGTGTGGGCGGCGTGTTGGAGCAGCTGTGCCACGCCCAAGCGCAGGGTCGCGGCCGGGCCTTGCCGCATTTCATCCAGCGGCCGCACAAGTGCAAGGTCTTCATTCTCGCCCAGCAAGGACGCAAGTAGCACCTCCTGCAAAGGGCCGGGCACGCAGAGCCCGTTTGCCGGCCGGGCCAGGTCCCCATTGGGGCTGACGAGGAAGTCACGGCGGAAGCAAGTCCCATGCACAACCATTTGAAAAAATGCACTACGTCGACGTGCATAGCCCGTGGTGGCGTGGACATGTTCAGCAGCTGTTTGGAGGCTCCGCGCGGTGAGGATGGGATGTGCCAGCAATGCATTTACCGACCCCCCCAACCAGTGCCCAAACACAGGGTGCACAGGCCACGTTGCACGGGTTTCTGCATGTAGCAAACCAGCAGCGTCAAGCAGGAGTGGCATGTACACACAGGAATAAGAGGTCTGGCTCACCGGAAGCGATGCGGCTCCTGCGGGCGCGTACTTTGAAGCCCCTAGCCGTGCCGGGTCCGGTCCAAGCGGTGGTGTTACAGCCTCGCAGCCCTTCCTCGTCACGAGCGTCTCCCGCACAGTCCTCGTGCCGTCCCCGGCATCAATGGCACATTGGGCAGGGTGCGAAGTAGGAAGGCCGAGTTTGGCATTGGTCCCCCACGAGGCACGTAGGGCACAAGGCTCACATTGGGCATGCCCTGCCGCAATTGCAAGGCCAGCGGGCGCGTAGGCCACGTATGGGGGCACCTAGTGCATACCCATCTCGCACCTTGGAGCCGGATGTCAACTTGCCAGCGTAATCCCATGAAGGGACGGGGGCCCAATGCATGCCACGGTCTGGCAATTCGACGAAAATCATGGCGGGGCCGGCAACACGGGCGCAGAACTGGTTCCGGAGCATCCGCCCGGGAGAACGATCGAGTGGCGTAAGTGCGGACAATGGCACGTGTTGTGTCCGCAGATGGCAATGTGGTGCATGCAAATCGACTTGATGGCTCGCGCGAGCGTTGTGGAAATGGACGCTGCTGTGCCGGTGAGCGGGGCGGGAGCCGTGGTGGTGAAGGCAACGGGGGCGGCGCAGCAAGGATATGCATGCGCAGCGGAGGCACCGAGACCGTTTGCTGGCACCGGGTCCACGAAATCATTGCAAGGCTCTGATGGAGTGGTCTGCGTGGCCACTGACGGCGCGTGTTCGCGAAGAGTGGGCGCCAGTGGCGGCGTATGGCTGGCAACTGACACGGGCGATGCCGGGGGTGGATTTCTCCGGTCCATGGCTCCCTATTGGAGGGCCCGGACTGTCTTTGCTCGCCTCTCTGACCCACACCGCTGTCTCAATATATCTCAGCTACGCTGTGGGTTTGGAAGCAACCCTTGCTATATTTTTGGGTATTCTGTGGCATGTGATCTGTGATCCCAAACGCCGCCTGCAATATTGTTGTTACGAGATCAAGGAATGACTCGGGGTTGTTGTGCCATTATCACAGCAGAAACAAAATCAAATGAAACAAATCAAATTGACATGAACCGCCGACCCGCGCATTTAAAAATCGTCACGTTGAAGGCGTAGCCATTTTGGCTCAAATGCCGCTTTTCCTTTTGGGGCGGGCTGGCTCCGGCCGCCGCCGCCACGGCTTGCTTCGCGTAGCGCTCCCAAGAGGAAAAACGGCGTTTGCAACACCGGAGACGGGCCGGTAACACAAACAGTTTCAAGTGGCTTGTGGCCCTGCGACTCCTTCCCACTTCGTGTTGTTGTTGCTGCCGCTGCGCTACCCCAGCAAGGGGGGAGACGAGCAACGTTGCGGGTTCAAGGCTGCTGTTGCTTTTCGCCTCTTGCTTTCGACTTGTTTGCGCCGCATTTGCAGCTCTTTCGTAATGTGAACGCAGTGCCCCTTGCACTCGCATCATTTCCTTCAAGTGGCCGATCTCCTCAAACTCCTCATGTGCGGATAGGGTTCGGGTCTGGCTACCGTTGGGTCGAAGGACAGGAAAATGATTGCGAAGGCGGTGCAAACAGTTGCTTCTCCTGCCCCATTTGTAAGTACTGACTGTGGAGGACTCGGGTGTGAGTGTCCGCTTATTGGACCCGGATAGGGGTCAGAAACATGATTGCGGGCAGTATCCAGAGACGGCCAGACATGCTTGCAAGGGATTTGCAGTGGGGATTAGGAATGATTGCAAGAAGAAGGATGAAATTTTGAGTGCGCTTGATGCATAATGCAAGTCATATATAATATGTTTGCCAGGTATTGCCAAACAAGCTCCGCAAACAGCGCTTGAAGCTGTTGAGGCCACGTGGCGACGTAGCACGTTTGCTCATGTTGGTTCCAGACGCTGAACCAATTGCTGGAACAGGTTTCATCTTCCTTGCTGTGGTGGTCCGGGCCGAAGCAAACCAGCTCATGTTCTCACAGAGTAGCATGTTCTTGCACAAGCAAGGTCGGCTTGCAGGCGCGCTGCCAAGGCTCTTTCGCATTGTGATGCGCGCGCAATGTTGATGCAAAGCATTGCTTCTCTAGTGCAAAGGATTGTGTATCATTCAGATTCATGGAATGGACCATGCCCCTTTTAACCCCCCCCCCCGTAGTGTTTCCATAGGGTAACCAATAAGTGTGCAGGCGACCGATCCTGCGCAGCGGATTGCGCGACTCAGTTTCCTGGGCACGGTTGGGGACAAGCCGTAGCCCCAACTATGCAACCAGCACATCGTATAACATGTCGGCATGTGATGTTTGATGTGTTTGTATGTTATGTTTGTATGTGTTGTCGTCAATGCTCAAGTTTGCAAACTTTGTGCGTAAACCTGCCGCCACAGAATTGGCAACATGACAGCTGGAATTAGCGAACGAATGCTGACACAAGGTTCCAAATGATTCGTCATGCCTCGCACGTTCCTTGAATTTGACGGCTCAAGCGTGGTCGCAAGAACCCATCGCGCAACATTTGGGGTCGCAAAGCACGCTGATCTCGGGGCATCTTGGTTGGCACATTGGACCGGTCATTCTTGTCTGCCCAGCGCGGATTGCAAATTTCCGAGCAGGCTTGAGCTAATTGCGATTTTCGTGGTTGTAGCAATCAGTGACTTGCAATTTTCAGACTATTGTGGCCCACTTCTGTGAGAAGTCCAGTGGGCCATACCTAGGAAAACTAACATCCAGGTTGTGTTGCAGGTGCGGGGTCCAGTCGATCACCGTAGCGGCCGTAGCGGGGTCCAGTCGATCACCGTAGCCTTCCATGATTTTCCATGGTGCTGGTGCATCTGGTGAGCAGCCTTTATATTGGATTATATTGGATTTCACCAATGCTTTTGCGGCCTCAGGAGATAATCAATGGGAGACGATACAATCTACCCGGCATCCCCTCAATATCCATGCACGCGTTGGGGAATACTTGTAAATGAAGAAGGTGAAAACAGCCAAGAATATGGTTGATTGTTGCCACACATCCTTCACCAAAGGCATGCACCAATACAGTACATATTTCTTTAAAGAACCCTCCACCCCCCCAAGCACCTTACATTTCGGACGCCCAGACTCACATAAATGCATTGAACTGTTTTTACAGTTTTGTAAATCCTCATACCTTGTGCATCCTGATATATCCGTAAATATTCTTATGTATCCTTGCATGCACTCATATATCCTTATATCTCTTAATATATCCTTATTTATCCTTGTGCATCTTTGCTTACCCTTTCGCCTCTCGTTTTTGAGCTAACACTTCTGCATTCTTCAAGCGCGCAGAGGCCGCTCCCAGTCGGTCGCCGAGCCCGAGAATGAGCTCCTTCGGAACATTATTCAAGGCACCAAAAGTTTAGTATATTTTCACAGGGTGTACGGAGAATATACAGGATTATGTAGAATTACATTGGGGGCATTTGGGTGTGGGGTTTCCATAAACTAGGTAGGGGTACCCGAAATGAGGCTGATCCTTCATTGGGGTATGCAGCGGGTCCCGCATTCCTGGAACCTCCCAGTAGTTCGTGGCTTCCAGTTCAGGCAGGGGCTTGTGATGGATGAGCTATTTACCATAATCGCGCGATGCCAGCCTCGATATGGAATATGAGGTTGCCAAGATGTTACTCAAGTCCTAAAGCTTTGTGTCAGCTTTGTGCACTTTTGAATGCTTCTTATATGTTTGTGTCGATTTCATTGCATGTGTGCCTTGGACCCATGCGCGAGATGAAACAAGTAGGCTGCTCACACATGCTTTCTAGATGTTGGTCTGAACAAGCTTTCGTCAAAAAGTCCCCCTCAAGTAGACAGAAATCATAATATGGCTTTGGGATGCTTTGGGTATATAATAATTAGATCCCCATATACCCTATATTCTATCTACTTAAGGGGGACTATAAGTACTGCAATGTAGGCTGGAGAATTTTATGCCTCTAATGTAAGTGTCGTAAAAAAAGGGACCCCTACTACAGGAAACCCTAATCCCTAACATCCTTGGGCAGGTGTCAACGTTTGGCGAGTCGCACGGCGTGGGAGTGGGATGCATTGTGGATGGCATCCCTGCCAACCTTGCCTTGCACCTGGCTGGCATTGGGGGTCTTTCTAAAAGAGTTTATAGAGGATGTATAGGGAGACAGAGGGATTATATAATATAGGGTCTAGAGGTTCTATTCAGAATTAAATAGGGTCGTTTGATTAGGGTTTTGGGTTCCTCTCAATCGAGGGTAGGACTTTTAGTGTTTTGGGCCGTATATTGGGCTCCCCTCATATATTGAAACTACCATTTAGGTCATGTATTGGGTACTGCATCCATCCCGTAGCAGTCCGTAACAAGGTGGGAATCAAGGGCTAGAGCTACCGCTAGAAATCATTACTATCCAACTCATGCCGCATGGGGGCAGCACTGAAGTAAAACGTGGCTTCGGGGGGTTGATTGCCAAGAATAGCTGCGAATCAAGTGGAAAAGAACGCCTTGGAGTTACTAGCTGGGAATCAAGGACTGAAAAATGGAAGAGAAAGTTGCAACTACTATTCCATGGGGGGTTATAGACTATAACCCCCAATAGAATCGTAGTAGCCACTTTCTGTTATATATGGGTTGCTGTCAGAACCTATTCCTTCATTTTCCTTGCTAGCCGGGGTACGGATATGGTGGTTGAACCTACCTTCTTGATTAGCTGGGAATGAAGGAATGGAAAAGAAGACGGAAACTAGTGCAATGGGTTGTAGTGGGACTATTAGAAGGATCCATTCCTTCATTCCTAGCTAACCAAATGCAAGTGACGTGTTGAGGTACGAAGTTTCATGACGAGTCATTCAAGCATCGTTGGAAGGATTGAGGGCAGATATTGTACGATGTGTCTCTCAGCTTCATGGTGGCCTGTAGGCCTCTCTCCTTCATCCTGAATTCCATGGTCTGACATGCAATTGCATTTTTGTTTTTTTCTTGTGGTTGTGGTTGTTTCGCGTGCGTGGGAAGGAATTAGTATCCACAATGATAACGTCACGTCCTCTTGCCTTTCGCAGCGGACTTGGAAGCGAAGCCCCACAAAAGGGGCAACGATGTTGAGCGCCCATACCTTGGTACAGCTTTTCTAGGTTGCTGTTGAGGAACTTGAACATGATGAAGGAAATTAAGCTAGGTTATTTTAAGAAGGAAAAAAGGAACCCCAACATTGACAATATACCCAAATCACAGCAACTTATATAACTTAATTTCCTTAAGAGCAACTCAGTGATGAGTTGCAATCACTGTGTTCATGCAACCCAGCTCTTTACATGGATTGGTGTGGCATGCTGGCTGTATAAACATTAGAACCAGTACCAAAACAACGCTGTCGCCTTCCTTCTAGTGACCCAATTCTGGCGATTCAAGCTTCTGCCAAGATGAGGACAAGTTTGTTGGGTTTCCCAAGACCAGGTTTGCTGCTGCGAGGGGAGGAACACGTGGATGACATGTTAACATGCACTTTGCTAGGGCCATGCACCAAACCAGAAACCAGCAATGAACCTGACCCCAATTGTGCAAGGACAGAGGAGGACGTGCAGCCTCAACTCACGAGGCGGCGGCCGGGTCAAAGTTCGCTAACCACGGCCAGGCGGGGACTCTGTTGCTGGGTTTGGCAAGAAGGAACACCCCAACATCAAGAGACCAAAAGGAATATTGCACATGATAGTGTAAAAGAAATATCGAAACATTACAAGGTCACTAGGAACCAAGCCGCCTGGCAGAAGACAAATTCCTCCATGCTGCAAGTTTCCTGGCTGTTCATTGCTGCGCAACTGTTGCAACCTAAGCCTCGTTCGGGTCTGAGAGTTGTGCCTACGGATGTGGTGGGGGGTCATGCCTGTTCCAGTCATGCCAAGTATTTCACCAACTTTGGGTGCTTGCGGGCTGTGTGATTCCCAATGGCCAGGAACGAGAGTGACACGATCACGATCCTTTCCGGCACTGTGGCTTTGCCAGCAAATTGGGAGTACAGACCGTTGCCTGACGCAAGAAGTCTCACCCCTCTTATTCCAGCTAGGTAGATACGGGCGACGCTCTTTGCACAGAAGCGATTTTGGATCAAGCCATTTGTTTTGCAAACTGCTTGCAGCCACCTGTCCAGCATGACCGCTCTTCCCGCCTTCGGTGATGCTGTGCCTCTGGGCGACCCCGCATGGTACCAGGGCCTGAACACTCCGTTCTACAAGCCCACCCATGCTGCCTGGCGCAAGTACGTCCGTGACTACTGCGAGGAGGTGTTGGAGCCTGTCCTGGATGATTGGGAGCAGTGCGCCGTGAAGGGGAAGTTGGAGAAGTGCCACGAGTACATGCACCAGACCTACTCCGAGGGCGGCAAGCGTGGAATTCTGGCGTGTGCTGTGGGCAAGCCGTGGCCGAAGGACTACACGGACTGCAAGGCCCCAGAGGATTACGACAACTTCCATGAGCTTATCGTCATTGATGAGACCACGCGCATCAGCGGCGGCATCTCTTGGGCTGTCATGGGAGGCCTGAGCATTGGCCTGCCGCCCGTGGTGAACTTCGGCATTCCGGGCGACAAAGCCCTGCAGACGCGGTGCATCAAGGAGTGCCTGAGCGGCGAGAAGGTCATTTGCCTCTGCATCACAGAGGCCTCGGCTGGTAGCGACGTGGCTGCCTTGGCCTGCAGGGCGGACGATGCCGGAGACCACTTCGTGGTGAACGGAGAGAAGAAGTGGATCACCAACGGCATCTACGCCGACTACTTCACGGTCATCGTGCAGA